TCCCAATTTTTTTTCCGCCGCTAAATGTTTCTGGAATTTTAAAACTTTGGCAGGGTTTTAAAATTTCCGGAAAAATTGAGTCGGCGAAAAAAAAACCAAATAATTGGGAAATTTTAAGAAAAATTTACTTTTTCAAATATCTGTACAGGGTGATCCCCTATAATGTCGCCCCCCTTTAACTTTTTTATTTTAAGTGTCCCAAAAAATTTAAAAGTGTGGTTATGTAGGTACTAAAAATACTTTTTTTCTACGTATTAAAAAAGTTAAAAATTGATCAATATACAAAAAGTATATTTTTTTTCAATGGATCACCCTATATATGAATTTATTTTTCGATTCTTTGTAAAATTCTGAGCATAATTCATATAACAAACCATATCCTAAATTCAACTGTTTCTGAATTGTTTTTAAAACTGTTAGAAATCAAGAAGCCTCAGTATACCAAAATTTTTATTGAAAATAAATTATTATAGTGACATTATGTCAATATGTCTTGTTAAATAAGTAAAAATTGCCTACTCAGACAGAGAAAGACAAACTATTTCAACTTATATTATCTTAAAAATAATTTAAATATTTCAAAAACGGTTAAATTTAGGTATATGGTATGTTATATGAAATATGCTTAGAATTTTACAAGGAATTGAAAAATAAATACATATATAGGGTGATCCATTGAAAAAAAATAAACTTTTTATTTTCTCTGTATACATCAGTATTTTCCAATTTTCTTTATAAGTAGAAAAAAAGTATTTTTTAGTACCTACATAACCTGATTATGATCATAGATACATGAATATAATAATTATTTCTATTACTATAATTCAGTAAGAATCTTCTACCGGGTCGCAAAAAAACAAATTCGCTGCTGTTTTATTATTTTTATTTGACACATCGATTTATAAAATTATAATTTTGTAATTTAACTTTATATATTATTCATTATTTTGTAAATGGATATTTTCAATGGACTTCCTTTCGCAAAAAGGACCCAATCGACAGTTTATTTAACGTTTTATTTTCAGAAAAAAATCAAAAACCAATTTTTCCAAGGCCTTGGAAAAAAGGGAAAAAACTGGGGTACATAAATTATTTTTGTGGACTAAAATATTGAAAATTTGTTTCTTTGTTTAATCTGTTTTCATAACAATGAGAATAAAGGTATATTTAAAAAAAAAAACTGCTAATGTCATCTATCTTTCACTAGGTATTTTTTAGTTTTTAAATGATCTTATATTCATTGTTAAAGAATAATAAAAAAATTTGAATAACCTGGTTGTAAACGATGAAATCAAATCATTTTTCATCTATTAATAATTATTGTAGTACAAATCTATAAAGTCAAATCCAATATTTTCTTAGTTTTTTAATACAATTTAAGCATTTTGCAGTAATTTTTGGGGAATATTTTGAGGTACCTATTATCTATTAATAATTATTGTAGTACAAATCTATAAAGTCAAATCCAATATTTTCTTAGTTTTTTAATATAATTTAAGTATTTTGCAGTAATTTTTGGGGAATATTTTGAGGTACTTATTGTAGGGTGGCGTCTTACCTATTTTAGTGTTTTAGTTCTTTATTTAGAAATGTATGTAAACTATGATAAAAGTACTATCAAACTCACTCTATAGTACCTATAAAATTCCGAATATTGCTTAATATAATAATGTTTAATTTTTGTATGGGCTTTTAGTTTAATTAGGTATAATTGTTGTGATTAATAAACATGTTTCGTTTAATAAATCGGTGACGGGGTATCGACTTACCTTAAAGACTGTAGCTTTGGAGGATTCTGGGTCCCGGGGTCTAGAGACCGACGACACGTCGCGACGGCAGTTAAAATCTTCGGGCCTCGCCTTCTACGGTACTTGTTCTACTCACATGATACATGCAAAAACCACAACGACACCAGGAGAGTCTTATAGTCGACGGACAGGCGGCCGCTTTGACTCGTTGGGCACGTTCACGACTCGTGTTGTGTGTGTGTTTTAGTGTGTGTATGTGTGTGTGTGCAGCACCCCGTTCGGCGTCGTGTCCAGCGTCGTGCGAACGGCGACGCCCCAAGTGAACGCGTCGTTTAACGGCAACTCTGGACTGGCTCTCTCCTTCTCGGGCAGCGGCAGGTCTCACGGGCTGTGGCTCCGTTCTCGATGCGCACTCCGACACGCTATGTGCAATCAATAGCCGGCCGCCGGGGCACGCTGACATCGAGAAGGGAGCGCCGCCCCGCCAGCGGCGGGACAAACGAGCGACGGTCGCGCCCTGCCGCAGCTTCGGAGGCGGGTCGAGAGAGGGCGACATCGCGCGCGGCTCGAGGCGGTCGCTGCAGTTTCAGGCGGCAAACACTTTGCTTCAAAACATTGTAATTCATACACAGAGAAAAGTAATCTCTTGATTTTACTATATTTGGCTTGGCTCAAATAAATTATTTATTTCGATATCTACAAGAAGATACACAAAGTAATTAATTTCTAGACCACAGATATAATTGTTCTATGATCGCGAAGGTAGTTAACTACTTTTAGACAAAAATGGAGTTAATGACTTTTGCCAGAACGGTGACGTTATATTGTGTTGCTGTAAAATGTTTAAAATATGGCGAATGCGCCGGGAACAATTTTAAGTGTTTGTCATATTATAATTCTATATAAACTAATATTTGTACCCCAGAGCCAAACTGTATTCAGTCCAGTTTTTTAAAATTAAATTACATATTTTTTTCCTACGTTGTAGGTACTCTGGTTATAACCAAAACTGTATTAAAAAATTCCTTTATTACAGAATTTAATTGATTTAAGAAAATAAACGTTAACGTTATATATATATATATACTGTGGGTTGGGTCCTTTTTGCAAAAGGAACTCCATTGAAAATATCTAATTAAAAAATATTGAATGATTTATTAACTTAAATTACAAAATTATAATTTTACAAATCGATGAGTTAAATAAAACGATAGTTAGTATAGTATAGTTATAGTTAGTTAGTTGTATAGTAGAATACTCTTTCTGAATTAAAATAGAATGAATAAATATTATAATCATATTATATGAATAAAATCAGCAATTTTAATATTGTAGCGCTCTCTATTGGAAACAAATACTTGCCTACCCATTTGTGGATGCTTTGCAAGGCCCACATAACACAAAAATATATCTAAAATATTAAATAAATATTTTTGCTAAATGAACTAAATAGTTTAGACATATTAGTCATTATTATTTTAATGACTCTAAAATGTTTTTACAACATTTTATATATACAATATTTTTCATAACATTTTTAAAACATTTTTGTAAATGTTTTAGATACCTACATTACCTTATATTTTATTAATGTTTCCCCAACATCACAAAAATATCTGTAAATATTTTCAAAACATTTACAGTTCATTGCATATATGCATTTTAAAAATGTTGATAAAATGTTGCTTTTATATTTATAAAAGCCGCGTGATACTTTTTGTGTACTGTTTTTTTTTATTGTTTTTTAAGTGTATAAAGTAGATGTGGTATGCAGTGGCGTAGCTAGCCTGGAGGGGGCCCCGTATCAAAAATCTGGTAGGGGCCCTTATACGGGAAAAGCTGATGTCAAAAAAATTTCAGGTGTCAAGCCCAAATTCTATTTTGGGCAAACGAAAAAATGTTTAGGGTATCATTTTTTAATTTTTTATATTTTAATAAATAATATATTATTATGTATACATAGCTTTTTTGCCTTACAGGCCTTTTTTGCCTTATAGGCAAATTTTAAAATTTGCTCTGGTTTTAGACATTTCTTCAACATCTTTTAAAAGGTTTCTATTTTAAAATAAAGGCAAGTCATTTGAAATAATTGTAACGCTAATAATTATTTATAATTTGCTAGTAATATAACCCATTATAATAACAAGCAAAGCAGACTCAGTATGCGGCGCAGAGCACAGAACAATATGCGCAGACTGCGCCGCAGACAACGCATAGCGGAAAGGTGCGGTCAGAAACAATTCGTATGAGTTCACGGCCGCCTTGGAACAGGAGGGTATTCAGGAAAATTTAAATTTAATAAATCGAAGTATAAACAATTAAATAATAATTTAATTTATTTATTTAATTTTATACCTCAATTTTTTTAGCATGTGGGTAAAAAACATATTATAATATGTTTTTTACTTACGCATGTCGAAGCCAATCGGGGGCCCCCTAGCCGGGGGCCCCGTATCATTGATACGGCTGATACCGCGGCACACAAGTTTATTTTAAATTTTAAATTAAAAATTGTTTCGCTATCACAAAATACCTACCTACATTCAAACCTAATCAAAAATTACCAAGTAATCTCAGTCTCCGCCCTCCTACTTCATGTTATTGACAGTCAACTTGAGTACCTACTTGACTGTCAATAACAAGAAGTAGGAGGTTTCGTAAAGTATCTAAAATTAGAAAAAGTATTTAAAATACTTCCTATCTAAGATTGTTTTCTATATTTAAGATACCTACGTTACCTACCTATGTACCTACTTTTAGATACCTACTTAAGATAATTAATGTAACTTTTATCTTAGATAATTAATTATTTAATTACATTAAAAGCTGGGAATGTTAAAAAAATATAGGACTAAGACACTTGCCAAATTGACAGCTCTTAAATTTAATTTGTAAAACAAATAAAGAAAATAAAGTTCGCTTAGAAACAAGATGCACAGCCTACCATACCATATACATTAATTTGGTATTTTCCTTATCATGTCCGCATTTTTATGGAATGTTTCTGGAGGCGGTTAAATTAAACTTTATCATATATGATAAAGTAGAGTAGAAAATATTTAAAAATTGTCAAAACTATTAAAATGATTAAAAACAGTTTAAATAGGTATGTATAAAATGATATCATCTTCAATTTATCCTAAAACATTAAAAAAGTGCTTAATGTAAAATCTCATAACTGTAAAACTTGAACTTGCCGCGCTTTTTTGCGCCCGCGCACAAGCATTTGTTTCAAATAAACCGCCATATTGATTTAGGTGTTTTGTTGTGTCGGTTGTTTTGTCGGGATGTTTGAAAGAAAATAAAGGTTTTTCCGCAGAAAAGTCGGAAAATTCGTCAGGATGCCAGCGCGACTAAAGCACATTGAAGTGGAAAACTTCAAGTCGTACAAGGGGCGACGCACTATCGGTCCTTTGAAGCCTTTTAATGCTGTAATTGGCCCAAATGGATCAGGTATGAGTTAACAAGTGGAAATTTATGTTTACGTGGTTTTTAATGTGTTTTGTTTAAGGAAAATCTAATTTCATGGATGCCATCAGTTTTGTTATGGGAGAAAAAACTCAGAGTTTGAGAGTGAAGAGGTTAAGTGACTTAATTCATGGAGCAGCTATAAGTAAACCAATTTCGAGAAGGTATAATGCAATTTAACTTATATTAAGGACAAAAACTATACTTTTTATCGTTTTAGTTGCTCAGTTGCAGCAGTATTTATTTTGGATGATGGCTCTGAGATGGCTTTTCAAAGATCGGTACATGGCTCATCATCGGAATACAAAATTAATGGCAATGTAAGATTTTTTCTTATTGTGTGTTGTGCTTCTCAGATCAGTGTTTATTAAGTCATGAGACACTGTTTATGCTGGCACATAGATAACTTCCTACACTTTTTATATTACTACTCTGTAGGGACAATATTAACTGATTTTGATAAAGTAAAGTGTTATTTTCTTAATAAATCATACGGATTTGTAGATTGTAGCTACCAATGAGTATTTAGGAGAACTGGAAAAGTTGAGAATTAATGTTAAAGCCAAAAATTTCCTAGTCTTCCAAGGTGCTGTGGAATCAGTAGCCATGAAAAATCCAAAGGAAATGACAGCTTTATTTGAAGAAATTAGCACGTAATTATATAAATTATATTAAAGTATTTGCACTCTTATCTAACTTATTTATTTAGATCTGGAGCTCTAAAGGAAGAATATGAGAAATTAAAGTATGCTATGCAAAAAGCTCAAGAAGAAATAAATTTTGCTTATCAGAAGAAAAAAGGGATTAATGCTGAGCGCAAAGAAGCTCGTCTGGAAAAAGAAGAAGCTGACAAGTATTCCAGATTAAAAGATGATTTGGTAAGTTACTTAATAGCTTATTAGTTTATCATAACAAATATTCTATAAAAATATCATTAAATTTTGTAACAAAAAATAATAATAATAATGCTTTATTGAACTATAACCAAGTTCAAAGGCTATTGACCGTAGTCCTTCAGCCGATATATAAATAATATAAATAATATACATAAATCATTGATAAAACTCCATTGAAATAGGTACAATATTTTCTTAGGCAAGTGTTTAAATAAAATAAATGTCAGACGTTTTTAACCTCACCTCCCAATTTATAAAAAAGCCTTAACTGACTTAAAACCCCAAAAGCCACTGGTTGCTAACTTTACCCTGTGACTAAAATGCCATGAAGTCATAGCAAATTGGGAAAGTAAATAAATAAATAAAATACAAAATATAAATAATAATATAATAATATATAATATATAATAATATAAAATAAATAAAATACGGTTTTTCAATTAGGGTTTAAACCTTGGTTCAGGGGAACTTAGATCAGTTAATGTAGGGATGGGCGGTTATTGTGAAAAAACCGGTTAACAGTTAACCGGTTATTTTTAAAGACCAGTTAACCTAAGACAGGTTAACTGGATAGAAAATAACCGGTTATGCAATAACCGGTTAATAATAACCTTTTCTGGCGACTTTTTAGAATAATTATTTTCTACACTGGTGTAAGTTAGTGAAGCAATAAGTATTTAAAACTGATTGCTTAAAAAGAACACTAGCAAACACCAGTGCAGTTTTAACTATTACTGAGGAGTGTTTATGAATAAGGTGATTTTTTAGGTTAGTTGTCCCGCCTCCCATTTTGTAACTTTGTAAGCATAAATTACAAGTTGATGTATTATCACTTTTTTTGGTAAAAAATTGCCACACTTCACTTTTTTAGCTGGACATTTTAAAATTATAAACCGGTAAACGACGTTGGTAAGCGTTAAAAAAACCAACAATAGTAATTTCTTTAAAAACTTGTAAAATTAAAATCAATGTAGTAATCTCATTTAAACAGATAATAAGAACAAATTAATTAATAAGTCACTGGAAACATAAAATATGTGTATTTAAAAAAAATTAACACAAAAGCGCCATCTCATTTTTAGTCTATAAACTAATAATGAGAAAGTTCCATGATTGCCAATCATATGATATGATCATATTGATTGGTTTGTCAGGTCTGGTGAAATTTCTCCAGATTTGGTGATTTTATTTTATTCTGGTGATTTTGTAAAAACTTTTATCAGCATTTAGCAGCTCAGTGTTTTTTATTTAGAAGATTATTCGAAAGCATTTTAAGAATAACCGGTTGTCGGTTATTGAAAAAAAATAAACCGGTTGTCGGTTAACTGGGGTTGATGAATAACCGGATATTAACCGGTTAACCTATAGCAAAATAACCGGTTATCAAATAACCGGTTAGTTTTGCCCATCCCTAAGTTAATGAACTCAGTTCACAGTCAAATGAGTTTTTCAATGTCGACTCATCAGCAGTTCTGTCTGATCATCGGTGTCAACGTTAAGTTGGTGCATCCAAATTTAGTATACGCCTACATTAATAGTAGTTAAAACTGTCATTTTGACAAAAAGGTTTTGTGTTAACTTTTGGTGTTTTGTTTATCTGTGCTGTTTTAAAAAGTTCTAATCTGTGCGAAAGGGTGCTTTAAAACAATTTACTATTTTTAAAGAACAATAAATATTATTTATTATGGATAAAAATCGTGCTGCCAACTTTAACTTTCTTAAGGAGGAATTATTTGTATGTATTTCGTTTTATAGTATAAAATGAAATTGTCGTTTTTTGTTACATGTGATGAATTTTACTAAAATCTATTACCTATTCAGTAATTATTTTTATAACTAACCTATTGGTCGGATTTGCAATAAATGGTCTAATTAAATCGTACGTACAAAAGGTTTGAAAAACCGAAATCTGGCTAAAAATTCATCATTATTTCACCTTTCAAAATGATTCTGTCTTTCCCTTGGCCTGTGCACACAAAGTTGAATATTATTTAGGAATTCGCCAATTTCCTTATCATCCTCACTAACTACCTCAAACATATCCATTGGTTTTTTATAACAGCAGATCACAAAACAAGAAATAAACAACGTATGAATGTATTTGTGTTTTAATAATTAATAGGTGACAATATTTTTATTGTATTTATATGTAAACTGATGTATATTTAATTAGAGTTCCCTCTGTAAACCGCATTGTGTTTTTTGGGTTAATAAATGTATTTTTTATTTATACACAATAAAGCAGAGAAAAATTAAGTTATGACAAGTTGAACTTCGTTTAAACGGCCAACAGCGACGGTTCATCTTTTGATTTAGTTTAAACCAAATTCAAGCTTGAACTTTGATTAAAAAACGGCATATATTTTTTGAACCAAGTTCAAATGCTGAACTAAGTTTAAACTGTGATTGAAAAACCGGCCCTTATTAGTCCAAAATATTACAATGTTTACATAGCAAAACTGATGAATTATTTATTTGCTTAATATTTGACAGCTGTTAGACAGTTCTAACCTCACTTTTTAGAAATCTGAAATATTTCAGACCCTAACCTCACTTTTTCTTAATTTATGATAGGTGCCTGCAATTTATTTTTTACGGGCACGCTAATGACGTAGTGCATAAAAAAAATAATAATTTAAAATTGGCGGCACGACAATAATATAATAATAAATTGTATCTGTATACATGTTTATAGGGTGTCTCTCAGATTTTATTCGTGAAAATTTTCGAACTTACAAAAATAGGAAGAAAAATGTAGGTATAAGAACTTGTAAGCAAAGATAATAATCTTTGCTTGTAAGCTCTAAAGCTTTGTTTTCAAGATACAGGGTATTTAAGTTAATAAAAAAATATGGTTCTGTCACTTTATTGTAGATTTTTTCAGGGCAAATAAACAAATTTTTAATGATTAAGATGAGAAAGTTGCATTTTTTAGTTGCTTGAACCAAAAATAATATTGTCGTAGTAGTAGACAACTAGCGGAGATTTTTTATCACAAAAAAGTAGCATTTTTGATTGTAACTTATTTGTTTTTTATATTAACAAAAAAGTTACAACCAAAAACGCTACTGTTTTATCATAGAAATTCCGCGGATTGGTTTTGTGGCTTAACTCAAAGTTCAAAATCAGTAACGCACCTACCAAAATTTTATTTTTAAATATCCAGTTGGGTTTCCTTAATTGAATTTTAATTTAATTCAATTGCTAAAAACCTGAAATTTTTTATTAAATTCGGCCCAAAAGTTTTTGAAGTTAAAAAAAAAAATATTAAAAAAAAAAATTACCACCCTGTATTTTGAAAACGAGGCCTTAAAACATAGAAGTTCATATTAAATTGTCATCTTACATTCGTTTTCATTCTACAAGCAGTGGCGTCAATACGGGGGTGATAATATCGCTTTTTAGAGAAAAAAATTTATTTTAAATATTTTACTTTTTTACTATTCGTCCATTCCAAGCCCATGGACCGGACACATCAGAAACATGTCTAAATATATGCTTGTTACTTCCTTAAGTTTACATATTTTTTCTACAAGTATTTATGAGAAGTATTAGCCAAATCAGAAGAAATATTTTGATTAAATCGAATTATCAAACATTAGTAACATACTAGATATAAGGCCAGATAAAACTGACCATGGACGGGACATCTAGAAATTGAAGTCTTTTTTGATTTTATGTCATAGTCATATTTCTCTAAACTTGTGTATAACTTAATCATCGAGGTTAAAAAATCTTAAATAGTAATAACAAATCTAATACAATTTGAATTTAAAATTATGAAAAATTCTTTAATAATTTTGTAAATCGTATATATTTTACCCATGGACGGGACACCATGGACGGGACAAAATAAATTAAGCAAATTTAAAAAATAAATGAAACGGATTTATTAACTTTTGTGTAACAATATCAACAATTCTAATTTCTAAAAGCTAAAACTTCATAGTGGTAATTTTTTTCAGTTTGGCATACAAACTATTGTCTCTCGCTTGGCCTTAAATAATGCTTAGATTTTATGTCTTTGATTGGTAAAACTTTTTCCCAACGTTTTGTAATCGTATTATTGTATGATTTAACTTCGTCTGAAGATATATACAGTAAATTTGTAGCTTGAACTTTTTTTGATACACTTTCGTAGAATTTTCTTGCAACGTGATACTTGTTCTTCTGGATCTAACCATTTCCCAAGCGATTCTCTTTACCACCCACACCGTCTACGGCACCTTTGCCTTGGGATGTTGCAAAGAACTTAAAATAATTAAAGAACTGTCTTGTTCGTAAAATTTGGATAAACTTTTAAGAAAAAAAGAATAAGCTTCTTTACAAGGTACCATCATATATCTTTTTTGCATCTTCTTTTTCCTTCCCGATGTTTCTCTTATGGATACTACATCTCGTTTTCCTGGCGCTTACCAGCTGATGTCATCACGATTTTAAAAATGGATGATTTTTTCAGTTTTCAGTTTCATATTCACTAAGTTTATTCCAGGGTTCTGTTTTTGCAGATTTATCATCAAAAAGTTTTAAGTAGGGAAATTCTTTTGCGGCTAATTTTCTTACAGTACGCTTACGTCTATCTTCAGTTTTTGGGAGAACTCTATTAACTGCTCTTAGTAACTTTCCCAGTGATTATGGTATTTGGTATGGACCTATTTTTCATTGTTTTCTTTCTCGTTTAATTGTGTTTTGGATTTGACTTTCTCCCGGTACATTTTTTTTGTAATTTCGCTCATAACTTTTCTTTATCTCTATTTGTGCAGCGCTTATAAATCCCTGTTCAGCAAGTTCCTTTTGCATTTTCCGAAACTGTCTCTTTTTTTCCGCATCTTTTTCTTTAAAAGCTTTACATTAAATTTTGTATATTTAACTTAATCTTTTTTCTTCGTATTTTTTCATAATGATTATGCTTTTCTTTATTTCTTACGCGTGCCATCTAAAAAACCAAATAAAAAAATTGTAGGAAAATTAACTATAAACAT